AACATACAGTATAGTAAATTTGTTGTCAGCAGTTAGATTATTTGAACAACGTTTTGATATAAATGCAGCCTGGTATGAGAAATTGAAATGATTTGATATTCCATCATGGTAATGCATAGCTCAATACAGCAAAGATCACATCTGATAAGACAGAATATTTCACCTCAAGCAAGGTAATAAAGTCAGTAAGATGCAAGAGGTTACTGAATGTGAAAGAATATGAGAAATATGATAAATATTATTAAGGCAAGAGTACAATAAAAGAACAGGAATTAAGAAGATAACAACTGACATTGCATTCAAATTTTTGAAGATCAAGATTGACGGAAAACAAGAAGCTGAAAGAGAGTTCCAGAAATGAAGAAACTGTTAGCATAGAACTTACAGTTACATCTACCAATTTAAACTGCAAAATGATTAGACCGAGCTGCCAGTCTCTTCATGTGCTTAAATTCATAAAGAGGAAAGCTCCTCAGAACAATTACCATGAAAAGATTTTTAGAAAAGTGTGAGTGAAGCTACATTACGGTGTTGGGAAAGTGACTGAAGACAAGATGCCAGGTCAGGACAAATAATATTGCAGATTCTTCTTTTTATTTCATTAAGAATCTCTAAATAAATAGCAGAAACATCAGAGCAGATGCATTAGCAATATTCAATGCATGGCCAAGTGCAAACAGTAAGGGGGTACAAAGTTCAGCTAGTTTTACTTGGGTGAATAGCTTAGTACAGTGTAACCCGGATATAAGAGAGATTTTCTCTGGTCCCAAATTAGAGCCTGTGATAATGTATATAAAATAGACCAAACCTGGATATAAGAGACTTCTTCTCCAGTCCCGACAACTCTCTTATATCCCGGGTTACACTGTACAATAAAGTTTTGTTAATTTTTCCCAAAAAATTAATGAAAATTTAAAAAAATGATTGGTTTGCAAAAATTGAACGAAACATAGTTTGTAAATCTCAATGAAACACGTTGGCAATAACTTCAAAATATTGTATGGATTTCAACATGTATCAATATGTTGCAAAAAAACTTCTAGTATATATGAAATAATAACAAATGAATAACATTTAAAAAATAAATAAAATAATTAAAAAATTAGATAAATGACTATGTGTTTTTATATAATTTCATGTAAATAAAAACTTAAATGTTGGCTAAAGAGTATTTTTCTAGTGTGGAGATCCCTAATTGGTTGTCAATAAACTATCATCCTTAGTCAGATCATAGATATATACACAACACCTTAATCTATTCACCTACTCATGAGAGAATACAACATATAGCATACAAATACACACCTGTACCTATTTACACAGACAGGGGCACAGATGTTTTCATATACAAAAATCCCAACACACATACAAAAGCAAAGAAGTACAATAGTATGCGTGTGTATACACATACATGTAGACGAGAGATATGTGAGCGTTAGGTGCCCAGGTAAGAAAGTTTTTGTAAAGTGTGGTCACACGTGATGAAGGGAGGGAGATTTACATGAAGGATCATAGGTGGGAATTCTGCATATATCTGCATTTCCTCAGACATGCATATACACATATACCTATCCACATACATATACACAATACATATGTACAAATACATGTAAAACATCTGAAACCCAACTTAGAGTTAATAATCTTTAACATTGATGTTATTTTAGAAATCTGAAGCAGTTCTTATGTCTGCATTTGAAGAAAAGCTCATTTTGTCAATTAAGTAGTTCTTTGGTGTTTTCAAATTTGATTATTGAGATTTTTCCTTGATGCATAGACCACATCTGTCCCTGAAATTGTTGGGAGTTTGGGCCTTACATATGATCCCAAAACCAGCAATTTTGGCTTCCAAGACAATCTCACAAATTAACACTATATATATATATATATATATATATATATATATATATATATACAAGTATAGGATTGCTGTATATGGAATAAATTCCAATAACCAAAAAAATACTATTCTTAAAAGAGTGTTCAATAGAAAGTAGAGCAAATATAATTTATTTGAAAATTATAAGATAAATATGTTATAAAATCACTACAAAAATAGCCATTTTGTTACAACACTTCTGGTATCTTATCATTCAACACCATTGAATAATAAGACACTACATTTGGAACCAAATGGCTATTTTGTAGTGATTTTATAATATATTTATCTTATAATTTTCGAATAAATTATATATATATATATATATATATAGGCTTTAAAAAACAATCTCACAATACTATATATATCTGTGTGTGGGGGGTATTAATTTGTGAGGTTGCTTTTGAAGCCAAAATTGCTGGTTTTTCAGAAGATTGCTGATAGGAAGGCATTTAAAGTAAGTAGTCTTTGTGATGATTGCTAAATCATCAGCAATCACCACCTTTAAGAATTAAAACAACTTACTAAACAAGAAGAATGAAATAATAAGGAAATGCAGGCATTTAAACATGTATCTACTTTACCAACTAAATACTAATATAAATGAAAGAAAGAAATACA